CTGTAATTAAGACAATATTTGTTGTTATGTGCTATGAATTTTTTTTTTCATTATACGATATATTTTTAACATTGCTTTAATAATGAATGAATAAATATGAATTTTTAATAAAAGATAGATGCCATTCTCTTTTAGCATTTGAAGTTATTATTTATTAGTCTAATTAAATATTATTAATAAATAAGAAGTCTTCTAAGTGGAAAGATTTACCTACCAAGTTAGTTTAACATCTGGTACTTAAACATGCGTTCAAGCTCGATGCTTATCTTCTGTTTAAGAATAGAACTCTATACAAATCACAGAAGAATCAATAAAATATCTTTTCTGTGATGATTTATACTAGTAATTATGCTGAAGAATTTTTTTTTCTCAGACATATTTCAAGATATACTGTTGTCTTTCATTAAGTCATATAGTTGAATCTGAAACTATTCATTAAAGAAAGATTAGATACTTACAATTTGTATCAGTCTCGTAAGTATAGTTTTCGAATGCTCAAAATATGGTTCACTAGTAAATGCATGAACTCAATTAATAATCATTACTCACCCACGAGCGCCTAAAATCTAGCTCCGTTTGATGACAAAAAAAAACAGAGAAATCTAAACACATTGTAATTCAGAGTAACTGAAGAATGTTATTGCTCTATAAATAATAATGGTTGCTGTTAAATTGTTAAATCACTTGATTGATTCCTCAAGGCTATAACCACAATAATATAATATAATAATTATGTAGTAAAACTATGATTAACATTATTTGTACTCACATCATTACGAAAAAAATCTGAAAATACGAAATGCGGATTTTTGAAATCAATTACTAGTAACTCAATTGAGTTCGATTAGACTTCGAACGATATTGATTTTTAATAATAAAAATTTAATAATTCAAAATAATTATTATATTATATGAAAGCTACACAGATCAAAATAAATCATATTAATATATATATATATATATATATGCAACCTTATTTAACATAACCAAAGGCAATATTGAGAGTATACATTAACATTACATGTAGTTCTGCATTCTATAATCTATTTTATACGATAATTGATACTTCTAATAGCACAACAACGCTAAATGTTCCCAACCTGAACAATAGTTATTATTAAACAAATCTTTCTAAATAGGTACGCAATAGATATATTTAAATAATAATGTCAATTGATTATTAGAAATATATCAAGTATTGTTTATTATTTATAGAATGAAAACATCAAGTTAATACTGTATAAGTAATAAGGAATTTCAACTATGAACATTATATTTCAATATTACAAAGATATTTAATAAATAAGAATAAGTAATTGTGAGAATGATCAGAGGTTATTTATTTTTATTTCATTTGCTAATGAATAATATAAATATATGAGAAAAGCTAAAACATCAATATATCTATACGACATATATCAATCAGATATATCACTGCTATCATTCTGTCAAATGGCACATGTTTTTGATTTATATAAATGCTTGGATTATCTCAATCAATATGATCGAAACCTATGACTTAAATGTCACTAACTGATTAAAAAATATGATCTGCTCTTAAGATATCTAGGAATCTATTAATCCTTAACATGAATACGAATATTAGTTTCACTTTTCAAAATAACATTTCAACGATTGGTCGTTATGAAATCAATTTATTCAAAGATATATTGGAATGAAGCAGTGCTCTGAAATACATATTAGGTATGAGTAAGTCAAGTCCAAAAATATATACCCATAAAGATGTTTTACGCACTTCAGCTTTGATTTCTCGGTTAAAATATATTGAAAAATTTTAAATTAAGAACAGAAGATATATTCATAGAATACATTGACATTGAAAGGGTGTAGGTGTGGGTGGATAAGAAGAATGACCATAGACATACCCACACCCTCTCTTCTTTCTTTCACCTGGTTGTTTTAGATTATTCTCTCATCATCTATGGGATATTCTATTGCATGGATTTTCCCCTGATGTTGTCGCCCTATATATACCTATGATGTTGTTACATAGAAGTGTGTGAATACGGATATAGAAATAAAGACTGGTGGACGTAATATTTCACATGGTCGTGTACGGTTGCTATGAAATCTCATCTGACTATCGTATGTGATCCACAAAAATCTGACATCATTCGACACTTGGATGCCATCGAATCGCATAAGAATCAAATGAAAAGTAAGCATTTCTTTCGATAAATTATTTTTTTCTGTATTTAGATTCATCTCACCATCGAAACTATAAAATAAGCATTTACCATTATAATCTTTTTTTATTTAGATCGATTTCAACATCAAATTTATTAAGTAAATATTTATTTTAATATGCCAATATATTTTTTCTTTGTTTAGATCAATCTAGAAAACATAAGACATGATAATAGTAAGTGTTATTAAAAAATAAGCGGATTTCATATTGTGATCCTGTGTCAGAATAAAATACGATAAATAAAATACAACACAATACAATACAACAAAACAAAATACAACAAAACAAAATACAGCAAAACAAAATACAACACAATACAATACGATCCAATACAATACGACAAAATAAAATACGACACGATACAATGCAATGCAACACAATAAGATAAAATAAAGAAAAATACAATACTTACTATTTCTTGATCACATCTATCTCCACAACCTAAAATACAGGTTGATTACGTTACTTTTACTAGTTTTGTGTAACTTGCTGCACGTAAGTAAAACATCGAGAATTTTTTTATTTCAATACAGTTGGATGGAACATCAACTACTCCATTGAACCATACAGTTTCGATTTTATTTCCTTTGGTCATACTCCAAAAATTAATAACTTACAAAGGGAGTCAAAAATAATTTTTTTAAATAAATAGATGGAACAAAATAAATGCCCATATTTTTTAGTTTGCTTTTACATTATCTGATAGACCTTATTAAAAACAAAATACACCAGAAGGTGCACCGTGAAAAGCTCTACAATTTACACAATAAATTTTATTGTAATTACTTTAAAAAAAGATTTTAGAAATGATGTGAGATCAATAGTCATTCGGTCGACATTTGGGCAGTAAGACTTTTGTCCATATTGAAAACCAAAAGAGTATAATTAAAACAAGCGATCCTACGTAAATTGTAGAGTTTTTCACAGTGCATCTTCTGATATAATTTGCTTTTTCAAATAAATCCTATTGGATGATGTAAAAACAAATTACAAAATGTGGACTATTGGAAAAAAGTTTTTTAACTCCCTTTGTAAGTTATTAAATTTTGCAGTACAATCAAACAAAATAAAATCGAAACTATATGATTCGATGGAGTAGTTAATGCTCTATCCAACTGTATTGAGATAGAAAAATTCCCAATGTTTTACTTACGTGAAATAAACTACACAAAACTATTACAAATAACTTAATCAACCTGTAGATATAATGGTCGTAAACAATCGGATACGGGAGCACACGGTTATATACGAGCATGTAAGTTCGATCTGAGTACGACTCTAGTGTAAATGATCTGTATATCGTGTAATCAAGAAGATTAGTGTTAAGAACCCTTCAAAACATTACTAGGAAAAACTGTGGACTGCTCGAAAATAATCATTATTACCTTGTTGCTTTTTCGTCATTATTTGAATTTATTATTGACTTTCTTTTAAAACAGCTTTGACGCACCGCCTATGACCGAAGATGACAAGTATCGTTACTCTTCTAATTTGTTGTTATAATACTATATAGAAAAAGATCTAATCATCATATTTGACAGCACTAATTCGATTTATTGAAGCTTGCTGATAAAATATGTACACAACTATACATATGTCTTCTATATTTTTAGTACTTTATTTCCTACACTTACTCAACGGATACAGCAAATGATTACGGCACCTGACGATTTTGGATATGGGCGTCATATTGTAATGATTGCTGGTACTTTTCCTGAAGATTTAACAGCAGCATCTAAAGTTCTGGCATATTCTTACAATAATGGCTTTAGAATTCGAACATCAAATCTGGATAATACAAAATTTCTTTATACATTAGATGTTGACTCTCAAAATGGGAAGACTTTCGATGAAGCTTATTGTTCACAAATATTGCGAGGAGTGCACAAATCTAGTAACTTCTCTGTAACAGTTGCATAGATTATGCTATATGCATAGTAACATTTATCTGGAGATTAGTGGTTTTTCTTATTTGTCATATCGGATGGACTAGATAAAATAAATATTTTTTATTTTTTTCAATAAATTGGTCATTTCTCAATCGATCGAAGGTGTGGTTATAACAACCTATACCCTCAAGAGTCCGCAAAGATTCATTATTTTTTTAATAGAAAGCAAAAATAACAATGTATTGTCAATTGTGCATATCTTTCGTCAGCATTTTCTTTAACAGCAATCACATATATTTAATAGAATATTCACAGTGTTTGTGTGTGTGTGTGGGTGTTTGGGTATGTGAATCTGAAAAACGAACACCAACATCCAACTATATCTACTCTATTCCTCTTTTCATTCATTAACTCCGATTATCTTTAGATATCGATTTCGAAAAATATTTTTAATTTCATTAAAGGATTTCTAATACCTTAATAAAAAGAGTATGGTAAAAGATATAAACTTATTGGATAATTCAGTTGTGTGGCATTTGGAGATGAATTTCTTGATCTTTCGATTGTTAGTATTGAATTATCAAAAAGTGAAACAAGTATAACGCAAGATACTATTTTTTCTCGTAAATGAATCATTATTAATATTTCTGTAGCTATAAATTTTCCAACAACCTAAAACCAAGTTCCAGAAAGAAGAATAGTTTCATTTTCTTTTATAAAATATAAATGAGATTCAATAGATTTTTCATTTAAATATTCAATATTAAAAATAGTTCAATCATTTTCTAATTCAATAAATTCTTTGGTAATATTTATACTTTTCGTATATGAATTCATTCACCACAAAATTTAATCCTCATTGGCAACATGATCACTTACATTTCCTTGAATACCGCGCCATATTGTTCCTCGAAATGACAGAAGTTTAAATTAAGTAATTAGAAATAATTTCAGAAAAACAAGCCATCGTATAAGAGGATCTGGAGCTTGAGAACGAAGATTTTCATTGAATAAAATGAATAAATTTTTTGTAAGGTTTAGACCATTGCATCAGTATGATAAAGTAAAGATTAAATTGACTCAACTACTTCTTTTAATGAAACAAGTAGAACTCTTTTATATTTTTTTTGATAGGTGCTCGAGTTTGATCAAATTCTTCATCAGCGTCAAGAAAACGTTGAGGTATAGTACTTTCAATCAATCATCAATTCTTATTAAGAAAAAAGAGAAAGAATTTTGTTTGATTTTTATGTGAGAAAAAGGAAATGCATTTACTTTAATTGCATTGCATGTCGAAGAATAGACTCAAAGAGAAAAGAAAGTTTCTGGAAGAGTTTTCGTCATGTATTTTTTCCTCTATAGAATCTAAAAGACTATAAATATATGCAGTTATTATTACAAATAATCAAACCAAATGAGTACTGCAAGGGCGTCAGTGTTAGTTTGAGTACGAGTGTGAATGGATGATTATTAACACAACTTCTTTCTTTAATCTCTTCCCATTGCTTGCTCGATTATTTCAAGACATTTCAATGTTTTCTCGTCGTTGTATCGTCGACATACAACTTGTAATCCAATAGGAGAATTAGCATATAGTTGTGGTGATGTATATAATTTATAATGTTCACTATCAAGTGTATTTTTTGGTCTATAATCAGTTTCTATTTGATCCTTGACAAGATCAACTGTGGTGACAGGAAATATAGCTGTTGGATAATTAAGAAGATTCCGTATAGAAGTATAACCCCACCATTTACTTGTTCCGTGTGGAGGAGCTGCAGATGGTCCAACAGGTGTAAGAAGACAATCAATAGAACAATTAAATGAAATTTCTCGTTCATTCCATATTTGTGCATAATGAGTACGATAATTTTCTCTTTCGGAAATGAGTTCATTCATTTCTAACCAATTACGTTTTTTAACATTTGGTTGATTAAGAATCCATTCAGTCAATGGTAATGGTTGTTCACCAACATCTTCCATCATATTACGTTCTTCTTCCGCTCCATTACAAAAGTAAAGTGCACTAATTATATTCCAACCTTTCTGATGATCAATTGGTTCCCAATCAATAATTCGAATTCCGATTTTTTTCAAATGTTCAACAGTTTCTCGAAGAGCTCGAGTAATTGGTGGATGAGGATGTACAACATTATCATCCCACATGATAGCTACTGTTAATTTATTTGAATCTAATGTAATCGATCTCCATGGTATGGGTACAAGAGATGGTTCTTTTAACCATGGTTGAGCATCAAGTATTGTTTTCATGAATAGATGAAGATCTTCTCTTGAACGTGTAAGTGGTCCAATAACAGCAATAATACTTTCTCTTCCTAATTGTGCTACCTTAAAACCTTGAACTGGTATTCGAAACGTCGTTGGTTTTAATCCATAAACTCCATTATAAGCGGCTGGAGCACGTATACTTCCACCAATATCCGTTCCGATACCCATTATACTTCCTTTCAAACCAAGAAGAGCACCCTCACCACCACTGCTTCCACCAGATGACAAGTTTCGATTAAATGGATTAAGAGTAGTACCGTAAATAGCACTATCACATTCAATATGCATCAGAGTTTGTGGTTGATTAGTTCGAACATAAAAGATCGCTCCTGCCGCATAAAGAATCTTTAAAATATGAGCATCATCTTCAGCAATTTGATCAATCCATTTCATCCAACCTGCATTTTTTGTTCGTCCAAGCATAGGTATCATATCTTTAACGGAAATTGGTAAACCGTGAAGTGCTCCTATAGGCCCACCTCGTCTTTTAAATTCTTCATCTAAATATTTAGCTCGATCAATAGCTTCTTCAACAAGAAATTCCGTAGCACAATCAGTCAATTGATGAGCAATACCAGCGCGTTTAAGATAAGCTTTTATGACTTGCTCAGCTTTTAATTGGCCTTGAGCTATTAGAGTAACAAGTTGACAAGCTGTATAATTTTCAGTAATATTAATTTCATTATCTGATAAAAGGCCACATTGTCGTGGAATATTGCTCACATTAAGAACAGATGTATCAGGCATTAAATTTCCTAGGAAACTATCCTTAGGAATAGATTCATCTCGTAACTGAATTATTCGTTGAATAGATGAAGACAACATAATTGTAAAAGTTATCACTTTCAATAAGAAAAAAGAAGTAATAAACGATGTTTGATGAATGCAACAAAAAAGATATCTTTGTAAGATAACTATCGCTTTTTACCTTACTGTTCTTATCAATTTTTACCATTAGAAAAAAACGTTCAAAAGGTAAAAGAGTACAAGTCATGAAAAAGAAAAAAAGGTTGATTACATAAAACATATCATTTTTATCAATGATCAATTGTCCAAATAGATTTTTTTTGAAAATTATCAAGTTTTCATATTTTTAAATATTCAATAAGATTACTTTATTTTATTTTCATCGAAGATTGTGTATATTCTAGAGATTCTTGATTAAAATAAAAAAATAGTATTTTATAATTTTTTAATTGTCTCGGTATTTTTATACCAGTTAGGTCTTTGTAGATTACCAATATGCATACAATAATTTATCTTGAGGGTGTTGGTGTGAACATAGTGCATGTGTGAAGACGAGTATGCGACATTATTCTACACACAACCTAATATTTATATTATAATGTATTTTTCTGAAAGTTCGTTTAAAATCTCATTTGATTATTTCGAAAACAATTATAAAAAAGAGGCAGATCTACCTTTCCTTTTAGATATTTTAGACGAGAATTTCTCGGTCGAATCAGCTACTTCTTAGAAAAAATATTCCGATGTCAGTGAAACAACACTTATAATACATCATATGATTGCAAACCCTATTCTATCGGTTACTCTGCAATTTTAGAATAATAATTCGATTAAAAATTTCGGAATATTGAAGTAAGACTACGTTATATTTGTTTTTATGAGGTTTGTAGTTTCATATAAAGATAAGAAATTGCATCATCACAAGGTCATTTCTGACACATGTAATATAAAGAAGATAAAATATTTCAAAGCACACATATTTTAGACAAAATAATTTATTCATTCGTAATAAAATGGCTGCATCGTTTCATACATTACCAGTTGAATTGGTTTACCGAATTTTAGACAATATCGACAATCTTACCATTATCACGGTATTTCGATATATCTGTTTAAGATTCAAAAACATCACAGATACATATAATCGATATCAGGTAATGTTTGATCATTTTATTGTACAAAATTCGATTTCTATGGATATAATCTTGCGAGAGTAAAAGCAGAAGGTCCAAATAGTATGAAAGAAAGGCCACATTAGAAAAGACATGTAGAATACTTGTACATCTTTATTTATATATTTCGAGATATTTCTGTGAATTTTGAATAATCAATGAAAGTGATCACTACTACATGCTGTGTCTTTATCAGAGTGGACTCTCACCCAATTATATCCTTTTGATGGATAACTCTTATCTAGACACTCACTACGGTTGACGTACGAGGTTGGAGAATCGGCGCACAAGCAGCTCAACATCTCGCCGATACTCTCGAACACAATAATGTAAAGCAATTTTCTCTTATTCAACTATTCACTCACTATTTCCATAGACGATTACCACACTTGACTTATACAGTAACGAAATTGGTTCACAAGGAACTCAATATCTAGCCAATGCTCTGAAACATAACAATGTAACACACTCTTCTTTTTATTCATCTATTCATTTACTATTTTCTATAGACACTCATCACACTTGGCTTGCACAGTAACTACATCGGTTCACCAGGAGCTCAACATCTGGCCAATGCTTTGAAAGACAACAATGTAATACAATCTTGCCCACTTCTCGTCGTATTTGTTTGCTCATTTACTATTTTTTCCAGACGCTCACCACACTTACCTTGTCCTATAATAATATAATCGGTGATCAAGGAGTTCAGTGCTTGGCCAATGCCCTCGAACACAACCATGTAACATACTCTTGATTATTCTTATTTTTATTCATCTATGCACTCATTATTTTATATAGACACTTACTACTCTTGACTTAAGTGGTAATGTAATCGGGCCAACAGGAGCTTATTATCTGGCAACTACTCTCGAGCACAATAATGTAACACAATCTTGACCACTCTTCTTCTTCTTCACCTATTCATACATTATTTTTTCCAGACACTCACTGCACTTAACTTGCACTGTAATCGAATCGGTGATCAAGGAGCTCAGTATCTAGCTACTGCTCTCGCACATAATAATGTAACACAATCTCGTTCTTGTTATTCAATTATTCACTCACTATTTTTCACAGACACTCACCTTTCTTCACCTGACGGGCAATAGAATAAGTGCCCATATGTTACAGTGCATTGAAGAATTATTAAAAGCAAGACACAGTGGATCTAGTTTACAAGAGTTGTAACAATATACATTCTTTAATAAGAAAGACATATTTTTCTGTTGACCATAATTAGACAAAGAATTTCTTTTATTAAATCTTTTAAGCTTTTTAGTTACTCTTCTCGTTAGACCCTCGCTGCGATTGAGAAATATCTATCATCTTGAGAGTGTGGGTGGGTATGGGTGACTAAAATATTCTTCTCAGTACACCCACACCCAACTCTCTTAATTGAAGATGCAAAATGTCGTGAAAAACCTCTAACAAGTTCTTGTATTTCAGGACGTCAAGAACGATTATTTGAAACGATATTTTCTGTTAAAGATGATCATATACCGTATAACTGTTCGTCAGCATTCAAATGTGTCCTTGTGCAATATAAGGATGGTTCAATTTGTAATGGATTGTGTCAGAGCTATCAAGAATGTTTTCCAATTATCAACCGTGAATGTCCATCTATGTTCAACATACCAAATATTCCAATTCTATTTGGTGATATTTATTTTGCTTATAAAAAAAATGATTTGATAAAATTTGCTGATGAAGAATTTCTACATCCTTATATTTGTTATAATAATTCACTTTATGATGATTATTTTACTGATAGTGAAATGTTACCTTTTAATGGCAGAAAATGTTATCGTTTTTATAGTTCAGAACTATCTGCTAAAGTCGATTCATTTGGCTTGGAATATTTGAAATTCATCTACAATAAATTAAAACCTTACAATCAATATTCAAGTATGAATTCATCTGAATCTATTCTCAAACCTGATAAAGATTATCCTGGAGTTCAGTGTTATAGTGATAATCAAATACCTAGTATAAATCATGACCATCCATTTCCACATGATGGTGAATATATATATTATTTATGTGACAATGATAAGAACAATACTCAACCAAAAAAATACAATATTTTATTTCAATCTATTTGTAACAGACTTCCAGAATTGTTACCAAAATTGATTAATGAACAAAATGAAACTGACGAAACTGAATGTGAATATTGGGCATGTAATAATTTACATACTCGTTGTAATTGTTTTTGGAATTGTGAAAATGGTGAAGATGAATTTCATTGTGACACATCATTGATAGTATGTGAAAACGAGGTAAGTGAGTTTTTTGACTTGTTAATATATATTTCATTATATACATTATAGAAAATACAAAATAAAATGATGCTTCAAAAAAGATCGGAAAATGAAATTCAATGTTATCGTGGACTTTCTGTGCGTATTTGGTTGAATAATGATGAATCAACATTTATATGTTTTTGTCCGCACAGTTATTATGGTTCGCGATGTGAATATCAAAATCAACGCGTAAGTTTGGCTATTAAATTTCAAGCATATTCAGATTCTCGACAAACATTATTTGAAATTATTATTCAACTTATCGATGATAGTAATGAAAGAATAATTCATTCGCATGTACAATTTACTTATTTATTTGCAAGAGATTGTGAGACTATATTTTATTATTACTTACTTTATTCAACAAGACCAAAAAATCAGACAAAAACTTACTGAATACATGTTGATATTTATGAAAAACAATCATTTATTTATCGTGGCAGTTTGTGGTTTCCAATAAACAATACATTTTTACCTGTTCATCGTTTTGATTTAACTATTGCGATTCCACTAGATGATTTTAATGGTGAACATTGTTCAAAACATGAATGTATTCATGGTAAATGTATTAAATATCACGATACTCAACAAGATAAAAGTTTTTGTCAATGTTATCCGCACTGGTCTGAACAATATTGTACTATTCCTAATATTCTTAATTGTACATGTTCATCTGATTCATTATGTGTTGGTATAGATGCTCATAGCCGATCCATATGTGTTTGTCCATTGTATAAATTTGGTCCTCGATGTTTTCTTAAAGATACAATATGTGAATTAAATGGTATTAAAAGATGTAATAATAGTGATCGATGTATTCCATCGGATTTAAATAGACAAACATTACAACCATATACATGTATTTGTTCGAAAGGTCCTCGCAGTGCTGATTGTGAACAAGAAGAGAACAAAATTTATTTATCATTTGAAGAAAATTTTCATTCATTACAAACAATATTAATTCATTTTATTAAAATTGAAACAACTTATATATCAAAAAGAACAACTATTTTTAAAAAAATATCTTCTATGAAAGAATCAATTGTTATTTCTTGGTCTGATCCAAGTAATCGTATTTTAATAGAGGATCTGAAACAAAATATTTATTTTATTGATTCTCAAAATGTTGCATATCATAAAGTAAACTTAACTAAACAAGCTAAAATATCAGATCGTTGTCCACATCAGTGTTTCTAATAGCAAGTGTACCAAGCATAATAAAAATGTACAGAACACTTGCTCCTCTCGAAATACACGCTGCGGTACACTTGCCCTAAAAATTAGAGTGTACGAAATACACTTTGTCCAATAAAATAATACTTTGCTTCTAATTCTGAGAATTTTCAAGAATAATGTGAATTTCAAAAGTTATGTCTAAACAATGAGACATTGTGATCTCTCTTGATACAAATTATCATTTGTCTTCTATGATATCTGCGTCATCTGATGCAGTTCATTTATGTATATGAATCGGTCCTCTGTTCGTTATATATCATACTAGCGGGGGTATCCGCTGCGGGTTCAAAGCCTCCAAACTAAAAATTTCGTATGTTGGGAATCGACACGGGGTTTAAAAAGGGTTGTTCTCGAAATTTTTCTTCTACAACCACAACGTATCCTGCCATGCACATCTGAGATAAAACAACTTCTCCTATGTAGCATTCCAAATCCGCCTGTTTTGTTGCAGTTCTCGCTGCAAAATAATTAAATTTAAGCACCTTCCGTATCCGATCCCCTCTCCACTTTTTCCTGTATATGCAAAAGTATTATAAACGGTTTGGTGACGTTAGCCAATACAGAGACTGAATGCATAGCGAACAGACAGACAGACACTCTTCTTTATATATATAGATAGATAGATAGATAGGTATAGATTAAACGTCATGTACACTTTGATACACTTGGCATACGAAAACAAGATGTACACATACACTTGGCTAAGAAAAATAAAATGTACATATACATTTTGTTTTAGATTTCTATTAGAAACCCTGGTCCACATATTAATGAAATATTTAATAAAACAATTGTTGATTATCATCTTCTTCGATGTATAAAATATGATCATGAAGGATAACGTTTAAGTGATTGTTTTCAATTTAATCATACGATGAAATATGATTGTTTAGGAGAAAATGAATGTATGAATGATTGTCAATGTTTTTTGATTGGATCAAAATGTACGAAAAAAGCCACTTGTCTTTGTCCTTCATGTTCTTTTGGAGGACGATGTCAATTTACTGCAAGTAGATTCAGTTTATCACTTGATAATATCTTAGGTTATCATATTCAACCAACAAGTAGTTTAATAAATCAATCAAATGTTATTTTTATTATAATAGGTTTAATTAATGGAATATTTACTATGATAACATTTAAGAATGGAAAATTACGTAAAGTTGGTTGTAGTTTATATTTATTAGGTTCATCAATAACAACATTAATTATAATAGTTTTATTTGCGTTAAAATTTTGGATCCTTATTTTTGCACAAATGTCTCAAATATCAAATCGATCATTTTTAAATATTCAATGTTTGTTATTAGATTATCTACTTCGAATATTTATTCATATGGATCAATGGTTAAATGCATGTGTTGCTTGTGAAAAAGCAATAACAGTTATTAAAGGTGCTAGTTTTAAGAAAAAGAAAAGTATAAAAGTAGCTAAATTTACTGTTATTTTACTTGTAGTTTTTAATATTTTTACAATTATTCACGAACCTCTTTAACGACAATTAATTGATGAAATCGATTATACATTTTGGCACTTCGAGTGTTTAGGGGCTGACCTCGTCCAGATCGAAATTTCTAGCACTACCTCTAGCAGCAATGCAATCTGGTAGAATGCTGATAAATCAGTAATAAAAAAATATTGCTTGGGGCGTAGTATAAATAACCATCCGACGTGGTCTAGTGGTTAGGATTTCTGCCTTTCACGCAGGAGGCCCGGGTTCGATTCCCGGCGTCGGAATCGTTTTTTTTGAATAAGATTTATTCGAAAGCATTAATTCTTTTACTGCTGAATATAATATACTCTATTTCCATTTTTGTTGTGTCTTACTTTAAAACAAAACAGCATAATGAGGAGAAAGCACTTATGCTGTATGTGTATATAACGTTACATGTGTCATTTTTATTTCTTTTCTTAGCTATGATATTTCTATGAAATACAGTACTCTCAAGAACGTGCTAAAATTTTATCATGCACAGAGAAAAGAAAGTTCCTTATCAACAATCGATGATTATAACAATGAAGTAAAGAGCATCGAGTATTAATTCGTAGTAAATTGTTTTTTGTTTATAATTGATTATCATTTATGTTTTTATGTGGTATGGAGTGGCATTTTTTTCTTATTTCTCTTATTTGGAAGATATTTTTAGTGGAAGTTTTTTATTTTGCTCTTCTTTCGTTCTTTGGAATTTCTTTTTTTTATAATGCTGTTTTACATCATATTACATTTTGTCTTCCTTTACGATATTTCGAATAAATATCATATTAAATAAAATATTATGTTTCTCAAGGCGGTTTTACTCTGTAAGTGCTTGCTTAATTTTTTACCATTAAAATCAACTAATGTCTACAATTAGACGTGGAATTGAAACAACGGGTCTCTCATATAGTTTATGTACGTTTACAGTCGATTTCACACGAAATTGTTAAGAGAAAGATGGATACGATTGAGAACACACAAGAAATAAAACTTGGTGTTTTACCGTGCGAAGAAATTAATCAATACTACAAATCGACATATTCTTGATCCAGAAACGAATCCTGCACGTCGGATTCTCTACACATTGAGTGATAACGAGCATGCTGCTCTAATTAATGGTTTACATCATGTTTATCCACCCAGAAAACTCCATGGACTACAGTTTGTATGCAATATGGAGTACTTCTAAGCACGTCTATTGCATATAAAAACTGCGTATCGACATTACGAACAGAAATCATCTAACATAATTGTTCGTCATCAATTCACATCAGGACAGTTGAAAAAAAAGAAGGCTTTATTACTTATCAAGAATTATGATATGGCCTGCCCTATTAGATCAAGACCGGCTCGAATATACGGTGTACCTAAGTTACATAAGAAAGAAGAGAGTTTTCCTCTACGACCTGTAACGTCAGCTACAAAGACAAATTTGGTTTTGTTCGAAAAATCAAAACTTTAGAATTTGGTGATAAAAAAATGGTTTCGTTTGATGTGACAAGCCTGTTTACAAAGGTTCCAGTTACGTATACTGTCGATTTGATCCTAGACCAAACGTATCCCAAATGGTCTTTGCAATACAAATATAAACAAAGCAAATGTTTTTGTGTAAAATGCCGGAACAGACGAGACTTTGAACATCTTCTTCACATAGCCACATCGCTAACTCATTTTATTCTCGATAATAAAGCTTATGTTCAGCATAATAGTGTTGCGATGGGTACTCCTTTGGCTCCAATCATTGCCGATATCTTCATGACACATTTCGAAATGAAAGGTAGGACGAAACGTAATTTTCGTTTTTTTACTGAGAATATTTCAATTAACTTAACTATCGATTTATTTACTTAGAAGGTATAAATTTTACATAGCGAGTGCTAGCTTAGAGCCTATATACATTTATTCAGAAAATAAAAGGTGTTCTTTTTTTCATTCATTTAAACAGGTAACCACGATCAATGGGTGAAACGAAATATGACTCGCGCCGAACATCTGAGTTTTACATGAACAGATAAAGCTTTACAAGTAAATACAGCATGTTTTGCCACTAAAAGGAGATGGTTTTTTTCACTGTCTTGTGTGATTTTTAGAAAGAGATCAATCAAACTGAACGTCAAAAGAAAAAGGATCAACAGAATATGGCAAAACAACAACATCAAGCAGAAGAAGAAACAAAGAAACAACAACATAAAGCCGAAAAAGAAAAAAGACAACAGAAAAACTCGAATATTTAATATTTAAAACAAAATATTAATGTGTGATTCATTTTAATAAATTTATAGCTCAAAGGCATATTCATAAATCTCTCTTATACTTATCACTATTACTGGAATGAGAGAAGGAACATCAGAAAGATCAAACAAAAGAACCTGCTAATATATTATGTGTTTTTTTGTTTAGAGTCAAATACCATAGACAAATGAAGAGAGCACTTTACAAAAAAAGGAGCTTTATCGAACCCCCAGAAAAGGTTCGGCAGATGTGAAAAAGATTGAAAATACGCTGTAAATTTGAAAAACGAATAAATAAATCTATGAAACCTCTTGAGGGTGTGGGTGTGGATGGCATGGGTGTGGATTAGTGTGCAGGTGCGGATTTTGGTGTGAATGTGGGTGCGATAAATAAGATACACCCACACCGATCTTCTGTACAGCAGTGTACACGAAAATCTGTGATAACCACCAGGAATAAAATTTTGATTACGAACACCCAGTGCTGCTGTCATATGTTCGCAAAAGGTGGTACGAAAAATATTTCACCCCACCTCTTATGCTATATGACGATCGTGTTCCCGGAATTAGATACACTTGATTCCGTGCCGCAGCTGATTTTGTAATATTCAACATTTTTGTATAGGATGACTGCTCTTACATCCTCACGCCCACCCACTTCTGTATCCTCCAGATGGATCCTTGAGACTCTTTAGGATCTATCGAAATCCAAAGGATCTGCTTTTTCCCCATGAGTAAAAAAAGTTTATCTTGGAAGAAAACTTCATTTTCTTACTGGTTGATTATCAAAGACCAGTAAAACTAAGCACGAGTATGAATGAAACTACTATATTATTCAGAAAACTATTCATCCAGTAGAGATGTTTTTCATAAAAATGAGCTGTTTACAGCAAACATCACTCTTCATCAATGATAAATGCATAAATTTTACTTTATTCAACGGAAAAATGAACAAAAAGACATTGATCAATGTCTTCTATGTTTTAATAATATAAATTTAATAAAGATGAATATTTTTAGTTAAAAGAAACAAGCTTTAGTATATTATATAAAAGGAGAAAAAGATAAATATTCTAAAAATGGTTTAATGGATTCGGAATTAAATCTATAAAACAAAACAAAGAAACTGAATATAATATAAAATCATATATAGACAGTCGTTTGAAATCGATAAGAGATGAGAAAAAAAGCTGCTGATGGTTTGATGATGAATACAATTTATATGAGCGTATGCCAATGACGTACTTCTGTCATTCCAATAAATTCTCATGCGCAATTGATGACGTGCTTTTATATGTGTAAATAAATAATAAATAAATGATCGATGAAAGAAAACTTATTTTGCACGGGTATTACAAAAACACGGTTTTTAAATTAACCATCAATCATGTTCTGTTTTTTTATTTCTTTAAGATTGACTTCCATTTTCGAGTGACTTCATATAAATAAAGAAGAAAATCGGTCTGACTAAAAACTCTTTGAGGGTGAGTGTTGGTGTAGGTCTGAATATCTGGTATACATGAAAGTCATATCAACAACCACACCTACACCAAGATACAGTTTCTTATGATCGAGAGTAAAGAACAATTAGTAGACTTAATTTTAAGAAAATTTTCTCTTATTTTAATAAAGGTATTAGTTGGAATGAAGAATTCTTCTATTTATTTAATGAAAAAAAAATCAAGTAAAGATTAGTTATTGACTTTTAAATTCACTATGAACAATTATGATCAGCAAATCGTATTATAAAACCAAAGAATTTAGAAATAAAACAAAACAAATCTCTAACTTTTAAAATATTCTCGAAATATTTTTATCATAAATTAATCAGTTGTAATAAAAAATCTTTAATCTCTCTTCTTTAGTAATATAAAATAAAAGGAATGAGAAAGAAAGAAAAACATTTCTTATTCAAATAATATCAATCAATTTCAAATATTTTATAATAAAAAGAAAAATATTAATTCAATCGAAATCAAGAGTGTTCTAAAAGTATATTGAAGGATGGATTAAAAATTTCTCTCAAAAAATGAGATATACAAATATAAATGAAATAATATTTTTGAGCTTGATGTAAAAGAATATATAAGACCATGAATTCACTTAAGAACCATAGAAGTACTGAGATGATGAATATCAACTCCAATAATTCTCAGACTTAGGGTCAATGAATGTTCTCATATCAATACATGTATCTTTGTTCCAGTGAGTGATAACATATTGCTTCAATTTGAAAACATTTTGTTCTTGTTGAACGACATAAAAGTCCAAAAAATATGATTTATAATTTTGTCTAAATCATTCTTGTACTTTTTTTTGTATATGTTAAACACCTACGTGCATATTCTTTACTTATTCTAATCTTTTATGATTGATGAATCTGGGAGAAAATCATGACTTTACTTTTCTTAACATTATTAGAAATATTTTCATTTATTAAGTCAATGATAGATCCGAAATAATAAAAAACATGTTTTTTTTGTCTTCTCTTAAGCTTTGTAATAAATTCTTTATTTATGAAGTTTATGATGAATAATCATTAAATAGGCAAACATTTTTCTCTTATTTTATGCATCTCCAACTTTGTTTTTCTTCATTTTGATTCTAAGTCGTCTCAAGTAAGTGTTTGATATCAAAAACTCGTACACCTTCATGATACGATTCTCTAGATATTACATTGTCTTTGAATCTAAAATACTGATGTTTTATGTGACAGATCCACATTTAGAGCCTCACATATTGGAAAAAAATAAAAAGTCTAGATAGGAATGTGTTTGAAAGTTTTGCATCTATCACTGCAACACGTCTTGCCACGCATACCACCGATTGACAACTGTAGTTATATACTTCTCCAAATCTTCTTCCACAACTTTACTCTAGTGCCGTATTCACTTCACTCTAATGCTATCCCCATCGTGAGAAATCAACTCTGTAGTTCAGGCTGCTTATCTCTGGTGCACGCACTCACCTATACTCAGTACAGAATCCTTAACTATTTGCCTGTCATAAAGTTGAATTTGATTCCAATACTATATCAAGAATGTAGATGAGTCTAAGTTGAGAATAACATAACAATTCACTCATATATACATCCATCTAATTATACTAGAATATTTCCAAATGAGTTCATTATGAAATGATAAAGAAGGTGAAAAATATATCAATTCAGAAATATAAAAACATCTGAATTGATCTTATACTTATACTCACTAGACCTCAAAATCAGGCCACTTTTTGCTAACCCGACCCGGCCCACATTGGGTCTTGAATATTGTAAGTCCGCCCAGTTCATTCTTATTTAAGTTTAGCTCGGCCCGGCCCGGTCCGCCGCAACAGTGACTAGAAACGTTTTAACTATATATAAAAAGTAGTTCATAAGAAATTGTGTTATGTTGCGCCTGGAAAGAGCTATATTAATGATAAAACATTATGTGAATCATCAAATTCTGATGATTTATTTTATTAAATAAGATATTCAAGTAACAAAACAATTTAAGAATAAATACAGTACATATTGATAGATTAATATCGATATAGAGTTGAGCGACCCAACTAAAACCTGGCCCGCTCGGCCTGAATGGTTAGACTCTCTAGCCTGGCCCAGGCCACGTCGTGTCGGCCGACCCATTTCAAGGTCCGATACTTACTACTTTCTATCATCTCTCTGTCCTCATAAAGTGTAGAGGTAACAAGGCTTATCTGATGATACTAAACAAGATCTTGAGTAGACAACAATGCTGTTCATATGAATTACAGATACTGGTGGCATTTTGATGATCTGATCGTGCTAGATAAGTATCTGGACTACTTCGACGAGATTAGGTTGCAGTGATTTATCCAGCAGGGGGAGGGGGTACGAGGCTTTTTGCCCTCTCGGAGGGTATCTTTGCCTATCCCCCTCTCGGAATTCAGAAAAATTACGCTTTTTACGCCTAGAACTCTATGTTTGCTCCCCCTCCCCTCAGATGAGAGATTTTTGCCCTCTCGGCAGTTAATTTTACACCTTCGGACGAAAAAAGCTGGATAAAATACTGTTAGGTTGCTAAGATAGTGTGATGTCTCAGTAGGATGGACGGTAGCTGCAACAACTGACAGCGAAATCAAATTGAGTCTTATAATATTATCGTCAAGACTACTGATCATGTTCTATCTTCACATTGTCATGTCACTCACCCATTACTTGGCCACTTCATCGCGATTTTGGTGAGAATGAGAGCGAGAGATGTAAGTATATATGAGTCTGAAAATGAGAGTACGGGTTCCATATTTGTGGGCCATGAATTACAAAGGAATTCAAAACTTCCATACATTGTATATATGATATGTGTATGTTATCTAGACCTAAGCAGCTCCGGCTCCTAGAAGCCGGTCATTTTTTAAAACGAAGCCGCATCCGGACAGGTAGCTTTGAAATCGAAGTCGGCACTGGAGCCGGAGTCGATCAAAGCACATCTATTACTGAAACCGGTAATCATTACCGGCTCCAAGCCACCACCGAATTTCTATCGTTCTGTTTACATTCGATGATTGTCTAGGGTGACTGTTGGATCACTTTGAAACAGGAAATCATTGTGCAGAAAGATGAACGTATATTTATCTCGTATTGTATGCATTATGATCTTGTCACTCGACTACATAATTTTATCACTGCATCCGTCACCTGATCATAGATATCGTTTACTCACTCCTTGTATTTAAATCTCTAGGGGTCATAGTCTTCTCTTCAGGTTCCTATAATCACAATCTCTTTGCTTTTATGTTTGTGATATCCGTCTCTCTATCTCTATCTATTCAAAAGAGAGAGACATCATAAAAACAAAGTTAGAGTGTCGGTGTGGGTCTGGGTGTTAAGTAAACACAGTATCCACACCCATCCTTGAAACTTGTTTAGAATAAAAATAAAAACAAGAAGATTTTTTCATTTTGTAATTGGAGCCGGGGCTGAGTTGGAGTCGATAGAAGTCGTGGCTGTCTAGGCCTGATTTTATCTATAAATATATTATATATATGTACATATATATTTATGCAATTACTATACATTTTTTAGAAAAGGTTTTCATGACCTACTGGAAACGACTAGGGACTACTATGAACAATAGCTCCACTCTCACTCACCTCCATATGATGCGCTCTTTGAGGGTATAACAGTTTCACCCACAAGTTCACATCCACACTCACACCACCCACATCTATCCTCCGTCAAAATGCATCCTATTCTTGCAAATAAAGTCATGAGAGTTAACGAAAAAAGTGAGAGAAAATGCTTGTCTTCAGTAGAATGAATACTGACGTATAAGGTAATGTATGTTAGGTAAAAAGAAAAAGATAAGTTTTTCCTCAGTTTTAATATATATATAGGCACACACATCCCTGTCAGTGAGGAAGAGATGCAGGAGGTAAATACTTTCTCAGATTTTCTTACTTAAATGCTCGTATATTATCTTGGAGACTTCTATATTGATCGTTATGTTCTTCGATTTTTATGTCATTTGCTGTTTTCGTTTGTGCTTACGAAAGAGCATTAATTACAACGATGTATTTGCATTATTATCATATGGATTGGCGGTGCTTTCTTTTTTTTTTAGTAGGAAAATCTTTTGTTTTAAAGGTATGATACAATCTTTATTGTTTCAGATAGTTTTTATGTAATATTGAAGTGATTATATTTTATAAGAGAGAAATTCTATGCAATGAAAACTTTTTATATCATCTTTTTCCGACTTCTTTTAGATTTAATTTCATAACAGTGTAAAATTTTGACGAAGTTTTACGAATGGATAAAAACAACAGAATAGATGTTTGTGATACAATTTACTATGAAAAAAACAAAAACTAATTCGTTTTTTTCTCTTTTACTCTATAGCCTCAACCAGTTAATAACGATATGAGTGAAATACAATCTACCCAATCGACAATATCGTACGTGTGTTTTGCGCTTTATTAGATGAAAAACATTTCTTTTAATTTTAGATGTGTGTGCACTCTAAGAAAATTGACATGCATCATAGTTTCTATTGTGATAATAGCGAGCGTTGCCATTCCAACAACTATTGTTCTCACGAAAAAGGAAAACATTGCTGAAACAGATTCAGCAACAAAAAGGATGACAACATCAAAAGGGTCGACAGCATTGAAGTTAACAACAGCAAAATCATCGACAACAACAACAACAACAACAACAAAAGAATCAGGTATGTCTGTGTTCAAGCAGAGGTTATAAGAAGTTGATCCATTACTTGTAATAACTTATAACAGGCTATTTAATGAAAAAACATCTATCATATATTGTTAGTTGATTCTTATTTGTCTCAGCTGAATGAAATTCAAGATATTTCATTATTTCCGTTATTCTTTATAAGAAAGAATGAATATAAAAACCCTTTCTGTTTATAAAACAAAACGATTTATTTTCTAACAAGTCCCGTTTTTGCAGATTTTTTCTATACAACTTTCAAAAAAGTCAGATACCATATATACAAATAAAAAGTATCTGAAAGAGGCTTTTTCATGTATTTTTTCAAGTATCGCCTTTGTTTTTTTATAATATCACATGAACATGTGAGGATGGTGATAAGAAAGAATATCGATTTATATATATCCTATTGCTATCATAGGGATTTGTCTCATTATTTAATATAGAAAGAAATCTTTTTTTTATTCTTTATTTTGGAAATCTAACGATTCTATTTATGTTTATTTGATAAACTAAAGATTAACAAGTGATGGTGTTTATGATGATACTGTCTTTTTGTATGAGAAAATGTTATTTATTAGTTGATATAGCTTAATGTTACTATAGTAGTTTGTTCAAAAACGCTAACATACGATCTATTTTCCTTGCTATTGGATTCTACGTTTATCTTAAACACAATAAAGTAAACATAAAAAAATAAGTGAAACAAAAAGATATACCTGCTATAGATCGAGTTCATCCATTATATAATGAGTATGGGAACGAGTGTCATTTTACTTCAAACCCATTTCCTAGACTCACAACCACTCTCCAGTATTGTCTTATACAAATAATATACTAAAATGTCGTTTAGAATAGGAATCAATGCTAAAAATCTTCTTACAGTATAACCTTTTTAAAAACATGTGTTACACCGTGAAAATTTCTCTTTGACAATATATCAACAACGCTTGGGGATGGTACTTGATTATGAAATGACATTTGTAACTAAATTTTAACTCATATTTATTCGTCTAAAAAAAGAAGTGTCTCGTACTTATTTTTATGTCTCAATCTAGTTCTTATGAAGCAATCGTATAATCTACTGCTTTAGTATGTTAATTTTCAATTCCTAAAGCGTTTTAAACTAGAGTGAGAATTATTTGTCGAAAACATTTTCTCTTACAAACACCGATTGTATCTGAATGAACTATTTTTTCCGTATTTGTTCGACAGCAAAAACCAAACAAATAGAAGATTTTTGTAAACTTTTCTCTATTTTTAAATGTTTTCATTTATTTTGCAGGTCTTATTTCACTTGACTATATTTATGGATTCGTCTATGGAGTATATAATGCTAGTATAAGCCAGAATAGTCAAGAATTACGATACGGTGACGGTTTTGGTGGTAGTCCCATAGACCAAACAGCAGTCAGAGCATGCGACGGTGATATTTCCACAAAGTACTTAACCTTCGGAGAGTGTAATCGGGGTGAAATTAGACTTGATTGTGGTTTGAATACTGGCTTTTATATGATTTTGAAACGAGGTGCCTCATTAGTTACAGGATTACAAATCTGTACAGCTGATGATTATCCACAACGCGATCCCCTTAAAGTGTCATTGGAAGGAAGTAATCAGTCTGTATTGAATCTCACTCTCGGTTCGAGCTGGACTCTCATCTACAATGGGGATAGTGGTCTTAACACAGATCCTGGCAGGCAAACCTGTGGAATGATACAACGGTTCAACAATATAATTCCGTATAAAAGTTATCGGTTTCTTGTTTCGAGCAAGCGAGGCCTCGAGAACAGTGTTCAGTATTCTGAATTAAAACTATTTGAATACTGACCTCTGGCTCTACCATGATCTTCAGCCATGATACATTTTCTGCTTTCATTCATTCATTCTCTTAAGTTATACATATATTCTGGTGTCATCTTTATATGATTAAATTTTATTGTTTCCCCTTCATCCTCCCAGTATAAATATATATGCTTTGAGCTTTGTATGCTTATTCATTCTGCTTTTGTTTTCTGTCTATTCAAATTCATTCGAAATAAATAGATAATCTTCACAGGCTTGGTTTCATTTTATAAATCTATATAAAAATTCAAATGAAAGATCTTTGAGGGTAGGGACTGACGATGAGTGCGAAGAATATTCGCATTCACCCACACTCTGATACTTATATACTGACACACATGTTCTCATCTTCATCGGCAATTTTATTCTAATATGTTGAAGAACAAAAATAGAATACAATAGAAGAAAAACATCACATTTTTATTAATACGAATGAATAGATGATTACTGAATTTTACGACGAAAGATCCAAGTATCTGCTTCAGCACTATCAATTACTCCATTCATACATATTCCTGTATGTAATTGACAATCAAGCGAAGTAAAACAGTCGAGTAAAGAGAGTAATCTTATTCGACTGGAAACTGTTTCGTCGTTTGTCCATGGTTTGCCACTTCTATTTAGAAAAAAACGTATTTCAAAGAAGAAATCAATTATAACATACAATTTCAATCGATAACATGTCCTGGCATCATTTAACCATTCTTCTCGTTGAATATTATTTTCACCAAATGTCTGTCGAATTCTCTGAATGACATCAGGTGGGGCACATATCACTTGAAGTTTATCTAAATCATAACGCGAAATAGCAAAAAATAATGTTGGCGATGGGCGTACTCCCAATTCGAAAATAAACGAATTATTATCGTCAAGTAATCGACAAAAATCGTTTGATGTCTAAAGATGCCAGCCATTACTATGTAATGCTGAAAGAATATGCAATCTAAATAAAAAATACTCAAAAAAAATTAAAATTAATTCAATAAAAAATCACATCACAACTCGAGATGGAATACTTTCATCTCCTGAACGCAACCAAGGATTTCCCTTGAACTTGAAATCATAAAAGTCGATATTCTGTGTTTCTTTTTGCATACCATTTACCCAACTAGCATTAATTGCATCACGGACGGCATTAATGATCGATAATGGAAATTGAAAACATCGTAGACGATTAGTCCAAAACAATGTTATACAGACATGTTGATGTGCTGAATAATTAGGTGGCAAACCAACATGAATATTATTTGATACATTTTTCGATATTGAAATTATATGAAAATAATGTTTTGTAAGCATATTTACTATGTATTTAAATATGAGAAACCAAAATAGATAACAAATAATGACCCAAGATATTCTTATCTTTACTTTCGATTTAGTAGTCAAATGTCGAAAAACAAATATCGACAAGTAAAAATGTCGACAACAAAATGTCGACGTATAAAAAAATGTCAAAAACTCTATCATGAGGGTGGGTGTGCGTGTGGATATGAACATCTCCTCTTTCCGCTTACACCCACACCCACCCAAATGTAAGATTAGAAAAGTTGAGAGCTGTGATTGACACATTAGTTTATTTTTGCTGATTCATCTTGTACTATTTATTTTAGTTGAAAACATTTTTCAAGAGTATTTTACAATTAAAAGTACAAAAAAACGAGGATAAATGAAAGAGTTGTATAAATATCGAATAATGAGTTATTTCTTGGTTATTGATGTTAAGAGAATTATCAACATATTTAGTAATTTATCTTTGAAGGTGAGATGAAGAATCTAATTCATTCTCGAAACCGTAGCAAGAAAGAAATTATTTTCCCATTTCAAGATAAAAACAAAGTATCACAAAAATAGAAAATATAATCAAGATTTAAAATTAGCCGTTCTATTAATACGATGAGTTCTGATATTTAAAATAATCATTTCAATTCTGTAGACTAAATTCAAATAAATAATCGCATTGACGTTTAAACTATATTCAACAACAATCAAAACTGATGAAAAACATATATGTATATGCTACCTCCGAAATAAAATGAATAAAAAATTAAGAAGTATACTATTTTATTGCTGTGACCATTGATGCATAGATTGTTGCCTTTTACCTTAACGAAATATACGTAATGAATCTAAATAACGATATAAAAACAATTGAGAAGCGCACATTTTTATTTTTTCTTTCCTGATGTATAAACTATTTTACAATCGTTTAACGAAAAAAGTCATTACTAATTTCTTCATTCGTCATCCACATAACTAATATTATATAGAATTTATATATCAAACTAAAATAAAATGATCAGTATTAAATTCTAGAATTCACTGAATTATCATCTAATTAATACTCTATATCAATGGAACGAAAAACAGTTTTTGTCGTTATGCTATAAGATAACTCTGCAATTCGATAGAACTCAATATATTGATTAAAAATCTATATCGATCTAGAAACTTGGAATCGAGAGAAAAATATTTATTCAGGATGATAGACGCTTGCCAGATTCACCTAAAACTATTTCATATTTTAATTTATTATCATGAAGAAAAATGATGTATGTAGTTTTATAGATAAACTTTTAAATAATCATAATTCTTATCAGTTAGATTGTTTAATGATTTGATCGAAAGACAATATCATCATTATCTGATGACTAGCTAGAAATTGAACTAAATACTTATAAAAATATAATTTAACGTTGTAAAAATGAATTACAATAATCTTGTTTATAACATTATGCATCTACTTTGTTTGTTATTCTTTCAAAAAAAAAATATATGATTTGCATCAGTTTGATTTGATACATAGACTAAATGTATTAATCATAATAAAAATGTCAGTCTTATTCCAAGTTTGAAACTTTCTTACTCTCATTCGACATGGCATTTTGCTTCTTCCTTGACAACAATATAACTCTGATACATTACTGTCAATTGTATTTGTATCTACAAATTTCAAATCAACAAAAGTCTATTTCACATACTAATAAATGAAACAGTCCAAATATAATCAATAAATGATATATTATACGAATGATTCGAGATAAAAAAAATTGTTTGATATTACATAAATATATAAAGCATGCAATTAGTAAAAGAAATAACGGGTCAATAATAACAGACAACCTTAGATAATATGTAAAATTTATTAAAGATAACATTACTTATATACGAGTGAATAATCACTTTAAGTACATGTATAATCCATCATCTAAACGACTTTTTCCTTGAGTGATACATCTAATGAGCAGTTTTTCTGAAGCATTTTTGCTATTCAACATCGTATTTTTTCATTATTATTATTTGTAGAAAAGAATGAGAATAAAACATAATGAAGTCTATATTTCTTGCACTTTCATTATAAGAAAACATGTATCTATTTTTATGTAACAATAAACATAAAGTATAAGTAACTAAATACGAAAATAAAAATAAATTTTATATTTAATAGTTAATGTAGTAAAACAAGTTTTTATAATGAAAAACTAAAAATAATAACAATTAATTTATATAACTATAATGTTATTCTCTTTCTCGTAGAGAAGAGTCCAGTAAACATAAATTGTCTGATTGCTTGATTGCTTGTGTGTCCGCAGGGTCAAAAAAACATTCAAATTTAATTTTTCAGATACTTCCGGAAAAGCTTGATTGGGGGGTAATCGAGGGCGGGGAACTTGAATCTGAGGTTAGTTTATTAAAATTAACTAGTTAATAATCAGTTAATAATTAGTATTATTATATGTTCGATTAAAGTTTCACCAAAGGGTAATCGAGTATGGAGAACTCGAATCTGAGATTGATTTATTAAAATTAATTAGTTAATATTCAGTTAATAATTAATATTATTATTTTTTGGAAAAAGTTTGACCGAAGGGTAATCGAGTGCCAAGAATTCGAATGTGAGATTAATTTTAGTTAAAAATCAATTAATAATTAATTAATATTATTAATCTTAAAGATAGTTCTAAGAAAGTTTTACCAGAGGGTAATTCGAGAATCGATTTTTTAGAAAAGACATTTTTGGGGCATTTCGATGCGGAGACTTCGAATCTGATGTTAGTTTTATAAAATAATTTGATGGATCACTTTTTTAGGGAGAGAACCAATTTTCATAAAAAAAATTTTCATAAGGGGTGACCGAAGGGTAAGTGGGGTGGAAGAACACAAATCTGGTGTTAATTTTTCCAAACTGTATAAGCAAAAAGTTTAGTATTGTAGAATACGATTTCTACGAGAAAGAGCTGAGCGAGTCCGCAGACGAGCGTTACTTGTTTGTTATTGTGATCTTATTTACTAACTACAAAATCTATAAATTTGACTTATGTAACTACAAATTAATAAAATAATTGATTTGCTTGTATAGCAAAGAATTTAAATGAATTAATAAATAATTAAAGATGAAACGAATTTAGTTTAGTTTAAGTTACACACCTTCAAAACTCTACTTATAAATTCTTTTGTCTTTATTTTCATCATAAGGACTAGTTTCATTACGTTAAATAAAATGTTTTTTGTTGAATTACACATAAACAATATCAGACTGTCTAATTATTATCTACATATTATAGATATATTTAATGGAACATACATTTAAGATGTAGAAATTGTCGAAGAAAAATATTTGTATTCATTTATATTGTCGCATTTTTTATGTTTATTTTCGACATAGTTTTATTTTTCTGAAAAACAAAAACAAAACTCTGGCTCTATAGTGACATTTTGTAAAAATACTGGATTATACATTCAAAATTAATTCTTATGTCTTTTTCAGTGACATATGGTCGTAAACAAAAATAACTTGTATGATGTAATGTATTATTTTTTTCGCATTCTCACTGAACTAAATTTCACAGTATATCATCATCTTAAAAAATCTTACATAATTACATGACACAATATGCACTAAATGAATCATGTACATAAACATAGACAAAAAGTATTCGTTTCTATTACACAATTTTTTAAAGTTGTGATCTGCAATCATGGGCAAAGAAAACATACTTATTAATATTGTTATTATGGGACATGTTGATTCCGGTAAATCAACATTATCTGGTCATTTAGTCTACAAATGTGGCGTTATCGATAAGCAAACGATCGAAAAGTTTGAAAAAGAAGCTTCCGAAGTATAGATTCAGATTTTATTCGAATCATAGATATATTTATTTTTAAATGATTAATAGATGGGTATGGGTTCATTTAAATATGCTTGGATTATGAATAAAATGAAACCTTCACGAGAACGTGGTATTTCTATTGATACATCGCTTTGTAAATTCGAAACAAATGAATATAATGTTACTGTCATCGATGCATCAGGTTATCGAGATTATATCAAAAATATGATTACAGGTATTTCACAAGTGAGTTATTCTTTTCTTTTCTAGGAAATTCTACATATATGAATTTCCTATTAGGCTGATTGTGCAGTATTAGTTGTATCAGCTAGTGTAGGTGAATTCGAGGCTGGTTTTAGCAAATACGATCAAACACGGGAACATGCTCTTCTTGCATATACATTAGGGGCAAAACAAATGATTGTCATTCTAAATAAAATGGATACAACAGAACCACAATTTTCTGAAGAATGTTTTAATGAAATCAAAAGTGAAGTATCAACATATATTAAAAAAATTGGTTATCAACCTGAAACTGTACCTTTTATTCTTATCTCGGCATGGTATGGTGATAATATAATTACAGCATCAGAAAATATGTCTTGGTATAAAGGTTGGTCCATTGTTCGTAAAGAAGGTAATGCTACAGGCAAGACTTTACTTGAAGCTTTGGACGCTATTATTCCTCCACAACGTCCTACAGATACACCACTTCGATTATCAATTCAAGATGTGTACAAAATTGGCGATATCGATACAGTACTTGTTGGTCGAGTTGAAACGGGTATACTCAAACCCAGTATGGCTGTGAATTTTGCTCCATCGAATTTAACAGCAGTAGTTCGATCCATTGAAATGGATCATACTGAACTTGAAGATATATACTATCTCAATCTATTCACATATATTTATTATTTTCTTTTATTTGTAGAAGCTCTACCCGGTTGTAATGTTAGTTTCAATGTTCAAGGTGTTAGTGCTAAAGATCTTCGACGTGGTTTCGTTTGTTCTGATTCAAAAAATGATCCATCACAAGGAGCTTTAAGTTTTACAGCTCAAGTCAGTTTATAATATTGTTCATTCATATTTCAAAATCTATCATTTATTTTTGTAGGTTTTTGTACTTAATCATCCTAGTCAAATTAGACAAGGCTATACACCAGTACTTGATTGTCATACATCTCATATTGCCTGTAAATTTGCTGAATTGATCTCAAAGATTGATCGCCGATCGGGTCAAGTTCTCGAAGAAGCTCCAAAATGCCTTAAATCAGGTGAATCTGGTATAGTTAAATTAATTCCAACAAAACCAATGCGTGTTGAAAAATATGTTGATTATCCACCATTGGTTCATTTTATTGTTCGAGATATGTGTCAAACTGTAGCTGTTGGTGTTATTAAAGATGTTGAAAAGAAAACATCTTCATTTGACAAAATCGTTAAAATGACTAATTCTATTGCTATGCAAAAAGACAAGAAATAGAATTGGTGGTACTTTCGTAAACAAACATCACAACAACATCAGACATTTAAACAAGTGACATTGTATTTTGTATCCATAGAGACTCATTGGGAAAGACGACGAAAACAAAAAGATTTTTATTCTGGGAAAACATGTTTCACTTTGGAATATGTTTATTTTTGCTGTTTTCTCGAGACTTCTCTCATTTGTAGTCTTGTTTTTTATTTGTTTAGAATTAGTTGTGATCATACGATTTTTTTTTATGTTTGCCACAGCTTTTTCCATTCCAATTGCTTTTTTTTTTTACAGTCGATAGAAAAAATATCGAGTTAAAAATGAGAAGAAGAACATATGAACTACAATAATAAATATCTATATTTTTACTTTGACCTCTTTTATTGAATTTTCAAGTATTTTCAATGATAATTGAATGAATCATATTCATAGCACGAAATATTGATTGATTGGTACTCCGAATTAATGTTACAATAACATTACGAGGATGAGAATTTGATTTTGGTTGAATTTTGATGAATAAATTATTGAACAAACAAAAACAATCAGAAGAGAAAGCAATATCAAAAGAAAAAATAATTTCCAACAATTCTTTTTTTTTATTTTCAATAATTAATATCACTGTTTGTTGAGATAAATAAAAGAGATAGAAACAAAAATTTGATCATATTGTGAAAATATTCTTGTTCTTTTATTCTCGTTTTTAATAAAGAGATCAAGACAGAGAGTGACATATTCCAAAGAAGTATCATGTGATACAACTCTTTCTTTCAAAATATTTCATTAACTTTTCATAAAATCAATAAGTATAAAAACGAAGGACAAAGAACAGACACAAGTTCTTTTTTCTCATGAAAAAAAGTATAAAGTTTGACTTTCGAAGGCGCTATTTGAAACTCAGGCGGGATGATCGAGTGTTGACGGATAAGTAACATAGTCTGCGGTATAATGGTCGCAACTTTTGAGAATGGTATCTTGGCGGTATTTCTTCAGACAAAACAGTATCCTCTTTCGTTACCAGTTTGTCAGTGGAATTAATGAAAACTGCACAAGTTTCGTCTATACTTTCATTTTTCTTGTGTAATTCTGTTTCGCATCGAATCACTTGCAAGAGAAAACCAAGATTAGGTTCTAGTATCTATAGATAAAGAATATGATGATGATTTTCAAAGATGAAAGAAAATGTTTTATACTTTATCAACTAGTCGAGAACAATTGACGATGAACGAGATACACCCATTTGACAATGAACCAATACTTTTTCACCTTTTGTTTCACAAGATTGTAAAAATTCATTTGTCATCTTAAAATATTCAGCAATATCAAAGTATGTAACATCTTCTATATTCACCCATAGAACATGACATCGATCAAGAATATCTTGATCCAATTTACAATCGGATACATCGATGATATGTTGAATACCAAGTTCTTCATGTAAGGTTTTGTTCATTGCATGCTTTATACCACTATGATAAAGAAAATCAGCACTAATCATTGATAGAGTAGTATGGTGTTGTTGTTTGATCGATATTAATTCTTGTTGATTCATTCGAAGATTGACTAATTAATTCTCTGTAGGTCCCCATGTGAATTTCAAGTGAATGATCATCAAATGCCAATCTGAATCATTCATTTCTGAGTCAAATATGACATCTGAAAATGTTATGAAATACTTCGCACTTCTGTCAATTAATGATAGAAAAGGATAGAAATTCTATTTGAAGAAACGCATAACCATTGATCAAATCATTGAAGATGTCATGAATAATCGCAACATAAATAGTAGAAAATGAATACAAAGTCTTTCGTGATATTTTCAATAATAGGCGAGCTAAAAAATAAAACTATTTTTATCAGTAAAGAGTTAATCTACTCAAATTTTACGATTTAAAATACGAGAAGAAATTGTAAAATCTACACTGTACTCAATCGGAATAAACTTGTCAGCACATACATTACTTACAATGGGTAAGATCGAAAGTACTTTTAATGAACATAGTTACGATTTTCTAGGTGAAGTAAGTGAATTTTATTGGGCATGTCGAAGTGGCAATATTCAACGAGTGAAAGAGCTATTAGATAGTATTTCTTTAGAAGATTTAAATCAATTAGAATGTAATGTAATATGATCATGCTGAAATTGTTCGTCTTCTATTACAAGAATATGACTGTTTACGAAATCAGAGTAATCATCATGGTTTAATGCTGAATAAATCTGTTGTAAATGAATCTGATATATTTTAAATCAGTGATCACGATGCCGATGATAGTGATGTAAGTGAAATATTTAAAGGTGCTCATTGACTAGAGGGTTGCTTAAGTTCGAATACTAATGAAAGACAACAAATCTTACACTTGTTTAAAATCTGCTCTCAATCAAAACTATTCGCTAAAATAGCAAATAGGAGACATTTGTTAAATGCTCTTAAGAAACTAATTGACAAGCATATGTTACCATAAGTCATAAGCAACATAGAAAATGCACATCGTTAGCTAAAAAAGCTTTAATAGTCGGTGTAATTGAACAGTTAATTCGTTTATATACACTTCAAACACCTTTTTATAGTGTCATGACTGAAGAAAACAAAAATTAGAGAATTCTATAGCGCTTTTGTTCTATCATATGATAAATTAAAGAGACGACATTTTCGAGGTACACGTTATCGTAGTGTTAGAATAGCCGAGCATAGTATATACACATATCAATGGTCTTTCAAATATTTAGGTAAGATTATGTCAAAAACTCGAGATATCACTATAAGATTTGGAATATCGTCTCGAGTAATAACTCGCAGAAAAAGCATACTACTAGTTTTTTAATTTTTCTGATTATTACGGTTCTGCAACTGATTTATCAAAACGATCGAGTGATTTACCATTTATATCTCGGAATTTGAAAACGAAGATGAAGTACTTGTATTATCTTTTACCGTATTTACTGTTCAACAGATTGAAGCTAATCCATATCATATAATCGGGATGGGTGTAGGTGAGGGCTAATGCTTTGTTTGTTCACATGCAAATTCACATCCACACCCACACCCACCCTCAAGATTTTCTTACTCTTTGATTAGCTAAAATCTATAAAACTAAGTATGAGTATGAATAAAACTACTATCTTATTCACAAAATGATTCATCTAGTAGAGATGTTTTTCACAAAAAATTAGCTGTCTACAGCGAACATTACTCATCATCAATGATAAATGCACGAATTTTATTTTATTCAACAGTAAAAATGAACAAAAAGACATTGATCAATTTATTTTATGTTTTAATAACATAAATTTAATAAAGATGAACATTTTCTGTTAAGAAAAATAAGCTTTGACATCGTATATAAAAGAAGAAAAAGAGAAATATTCTGAATGAAATATAGAAAAACAAAACAAAAAGAGATTGAACACAATATAAAATCATATATAGACAGGCGCCTGTAAAAGATAAGAAATGAGAAAAAAAGTTGTTGATGGTTTGATGATGATCAATATAATTCATATGAGCATAACTCAATAACGTTCTTATATCATGCACAAAAATTCTCATGCGCAGTTGATGACGTGCTTTTATATGTGTAGATCAATAATATATAAATGATCGATGAAAGAAAACTTATTTTGCAGGGGTATTACAAAAACACGCTCATTAAACTAATCATCAATCATGTTTTGTTTTTTTTTATTTCTTTAAGATTAACTTCCATTTTTGAGTGAATTCGTATCGATATAGAAAAAAACTGATCTAACTGAAAACTCTTTGAGTGTGAGTATAGGTGTAGGTCTGAATATCTGGTGTACATGAAAATTATATAAACAACCGCACCTACATCGGGATACAGTTTTTTATGGTCGAGAGCAAAGAACAATTAATAGACTTATTTTTAAGAAATTCTTCTCTTATTTTCATGAAGCCATTACTTAAAATGAGGAATTCTTATATTTATTTATTGAATAGAATCAAGTAAAGATCAATTATTGACTTTTAAATTCATTATGAACAATTACGATTAAGAAAATCATATTATATAACCAAAGAATTTATAAATAAAATAAATATCTAACTTTTAAAATAATCTTGAAATATTTTCATCATAAATTAACAGGTTGTAATAAAAAAAAGAATTGTTGATCTCTCTTCTCTATTAATGTAAAAACATTTATTCAAATAATATCAATCATTTTCAATGATTTGATGATAAAAAGAAAAAAATTTATTCAATTGAAATCAAGAGTTTTGTAAAAGTATACTGAAAGATGGATTAAAAGCTTCTCTCAAAAAATGAGATATTCAAATACGAACGAAATAGTATCATGAAGCTCGATGAAAAAGAATATATAAAAACATAGAAGTACTGAAATGACGAATACTAATTCTCAGAATTAGGGTTAGTAAATGTTTTCATATCAATAAATGTATCTTTGCCGTAGTAAGTGATAACATCTCGTTTTAATTTGAGGACATTTTGTACACATACTCATGTAGTCCTTGTTGAACAGAATAAAAGTTCAAAAAATATGATTTCTAATTATATCTAAATCATTCTTGTACTTTTTTTCTATATGTTAAACACCTACGTGCATATTCTTTACTTATTCTAATCTTTTATGATTGATGAATCTGGGAGAAAAGCATGATTTTAATTTTTCTAACGTTATTAGAAATATTTTTATTTATTAAGTCAATGATAGATCCGAAATAATAAAAAGCACGTTTTGTTTTGTCTTCATTTATTAAGTTTATGATGAATAATCTTATCAAATAGAGAAGCGTTTTTCTCCTATTTTATGCATCTCCAACTTTGTTTTTCTTCATTTTGATTCTAAGTCGACTCAAGTAAGTGTTTGATATCAAAAATTCTTACACCTTTATGATACGATCCTCTAGATATTACATTGCCTTTAAATCTAAAATACTGATATTCTATATGGTAGATCCACATTCACAGCTTCACATATGAGAAAAAAAATAAACAATCTAGATAGGAATGCGTTTGGAAGTTTTGTATCTAACACCACAACATGTCTTGACACGCATACCAGCGATTGACAACTGTGATTATATACTTCTGCAAATCTTCCTCTGTAAATTTACTCCAGTATCATATTCACTTCATTCAAAAGCCATTCCCATCGTGAGAAATCAACTCCATAGTTGGAGTTGCTTATCTCTAGTGCGCGCACTCACCTACACTCAGCGCGGAATCCCTAACTATTTGGCCGTCATAAAGTTGAATTTGGTTCTAGTACTATATCAAGAATGTAGATGAATCTTAATTAAGAATAACATAGCAATTCACTCATATATATATACATCGATCTAATTTAACTAGAATAATGCCAAATGACTTGATTATAAAAGGATAAAGAAGCTAAGAAATCTATTAATTCAGAAATATAAAAACCAAGGGGCAAAGAGTGGAATCCTGGAATCCGCGAGAATCTTCAAGAATCCTTGGGAATCTTCAGGAATTTTTGTAGCCCATTGGAAGTTGTTGGAAACCGAAAATGGTAAATAAGACACAAAAATTCTTGACATTCATTAAAATCTTGGAAATTCCTAGAAATTGACGAGATATTCTTCCCATTCTCCCCCAAAATCGACGATTCAAGGAAAAATTTGATGAAATCTTTCGAGATTACATTGTTTAGATTTATCGTTTCGAATGTTGATCTTGCAACTATGTTTACAGAGAATACCTGTTTTTATATATAATAAAAAGACACCCAACAGACTTGAATTTGAAGGGTGTGTAATGTGTGGGTGATCTAGATCAACCAATCGGATGTAGGATCCTATCGGAATCCGAGGATCCGACAAAATTCTATAAGATCCCAGTTGACGGATTCACTTCGAATTCTATCATTTCAGAATTCCATCAGATCCAAATATCGGATTTCATAGGATCCAACAGACGAACCCGATAGGCGCCTAAGATCATCTATCTATCTGTATATATAAAGAAGAATGTCTGTGTGTTCGCTCTGCATTCAGTCCCTGTAATAGCTACGATCACCAAACTTTCCACGATGTTTCCTTAGGGCTCAGGGAAGGTCGACAAGGCTTTCGCATGGTCATTCGTGGAGTGGGTAGTGGTGGGTCGTGAGTAGAATTTCACCCAGGTAGTTATGTGATAGCTAAGGTCACCAAACCGTCTATGATACTTTTGTATATACAAGGAAAAGTATAGAGGCGGTCGGATATGGAAGGTGCTTGAAATTTAACTATTTTGCAGCGGAAGCTGTGCGAGAAAGTTTTTGCAGCAGGCCTCACTCATACATCCACATTATCAAGCCTACATCCTCACACCCACATCCTACAATGGTTTAGTAAGGACTGTTAGGGACTACTATGACCAATAGCTCCGGTCTCACCCACATCGACATGATGCGTCCTTTGAGGGTATAATAGACTCACCCACAAGTTCACACCCACATTCTCACCCCTGCACCCACATCCACATCCTCACTTCTACACCCACACCCAGATCTTCACTCATACACCCACATCTGACCTCCACACTCCGGTGGTCTGTAGCAGTCCCTACTGCCCCTCTCAGTCCCTACTAGATCTTAGTATCCCTACAAGACCTTACTAATCTGTAGTAGTCTCTAATAGACTCTAATGATCCCTATTGGACTCTATTAGTCCCGGATCAAGTGTGTTAGAACTTGAATTACTTTGTAATTCATTCCCGACACCAAGTGGTATTAATGTAACAGAGTGATGAAATAGCGAAACAATGAGGCATTAATTGCCAACAGTAGCATTTTTTTCATGAAAGTTTTAATTTTATATTCAGAATAATCAAAATAAATTTTCACAAGTGATATTTATTATACTGTAACAAATGTCCTCCTTAGAAGGATACTTTCTGAATTTAAATTTATTCTCACCACCATCCGATTCCAACGAACAAGAAAATGAACAACAACGTCGATGGAATATTATTGGTACACGAATTTATATTATACTTATCATACTCATTCTTTTTATTACTGGTCTTATTTTATTATTACTTGAACAATCGACGATGGTTACTCTACCAAATCCAACAAAAAAACAGTTTCAACGTCTGCCTATCAATGCAAAATGTTCATGTTCTCGTATTTCTATTTCATATGGGAAATTTATGTCATTGAAAACAAGTTTTCATCAAGTTTGTTCAAGTGATTTTATTAGTGATCGATGGCTAAATGCAATTGATTCGAAAACAAATACAACTTATTTTGCTTTTCGAGACTTTCGACGTTTTGGTAATGCTCAGTTTCAAGCACTTGCTGCTTATTGTCGTTTATCAGAATCGTATACTGATCAAAGTGTTAATGTCGTTCTTCAAAATATATTGCTAAGTCCACAAATTCTATCAGAAACATTTCTGTGGTCACACATCAATACAGCAATTGAACAATTCAAACTAAAGACACCAAATACTTTTAATATTCAACTAAAATTAATCATCAAAATGACAATCGTCAATGAATTAATACCTGCTGTACAAACTGGCGTGTATTTCAAAGATGTTAGCCAGGGACTTGAACCATGGATACGCCAATACCAACAGACGGATGGTTCTAGGTGTGATTGCACACGAACCGATTGTAATCAAGCAGAGTCAGGTATTATCGATAAATTTGGAAGACAGGATATGTTTGAGAACACGGATAGTTTTGTATGGTCTATACCAGGAATGTCAACAGGTTGTTTCCCAGGATTTACAATTCTATCGTCGACACTTGAATGTTTCTACAATCAAACATGTGTAGACAAACTTCTTTCATATTTTCCAACAAGTGAAAAATTCAAAGCAATGATTATAGATAATGAAAGTTTATATCAACCAACATCAACTATACAATCAATAATTGATAATTTGATGATTGAAAATTGGACAATGAATATTGATTATGATAAATATTATTCAGAATGTGCACCATCTTTATGTACTTATTTGAAAATATCTCGACGAGATTTTGTTCATGTCTTAAAAAAATTGATTAGTTTATTGTCTAGTTTGATATTAATACTGGGATTAATAATTCCGCTTGTTATTGGATTCATTATGAAACGACGAGATCGAACACCAAAACCACGAATTTCTTGTAAGTAGAAATTACTATCAGTGAGAAAGTAACAAATTAGTAAATAAGAATAGAACAGAAAAAAAGAAAAAAATGAAAGACCGGGGATAAATGTAAGTCAACTATGGAAAAAGGGTTGATGATTTTAGTTATGAGACAGTAGTTGAAAGAAACTGATTTTGTACATTTTGATAAAATAAAATCATATCTCTTCTCTTATTATTTAGTCAAAAATCGTTTATATCAATTTAAAGAAAATATGCGAAAGAAATCAATTGAATTGAATATTTTCAAACATTCTTCTGATACTGATCGACAAACAAAATTTCAACGTTATGCAACACGATTGTATATATTTCTTCTCATTGATTCAATGATAATTATAATTATTTATGTATTTTTACAAAAATCAATTCAATTAAAAACCATTTCTTATCCTACTGAATTTCAGTTTACTCAACTTCAAGAAAAATATCCTCGATCACTTTCGTGTTCATGCAGTTCAATATCAATATCTTATTCAAATTTCACAATAATTCAACCACAATATCATCAATTATGTCGAAGTGATTTCATTTCTGAAGAATGGATTGATTACATGAAGAAACTTACCATTGAAGTGCCTCCAATTTTTCAGGATTATCGAGCAATTTCTGTTGGTTATTTTCAATTATTGTCACTACTTTGTAAACAAGCTGAGGAAATCGTTATTCATGCACTTGAGATTTTTCTCAGAACAGAATTCGTTAGTTCACAAGTTCTTGCAGAAGAATCGTTTGAAAATCAAATAACTTCATCGATTGAAGGTTTGAAATTATCAACGACAAATACTTTTAAAAGAACTATTCAATTAATTCAACGAATTTATCAGGGAAATCAGTTGGTTAGTGTTGCATATGCCAGTACTCTTTTTAAAGATGGAAATTCAGAAGTATATATAAACTCACAAACAGAGCAAGGATGTAATTGTGTTTTATCTTCATCCTGTTACTCCACTGTTGAACTTTATCGTACCATTATAGGTGGTAAACTCTTATATGATCCATATCCAGTTTCGAATTTTTTTTATGGTTGTTATCCAACTCAATCATTATTTGTATCAACATTAGAATGTTTTTATAATTTATCATGTATGTTAGAAATTGATGAACATTTATGTTCTTCAGTACCTTTCAATTTTTCTGCTCTTAATCAAAATTTAAATCAACCAAGTGAAACAGTCGAAATGATTCTTAGTCGATTAATGGTTGAAGAATGGTTATCAAATGTTTCTTTTTTATTATATTATAAAAAATGTGCACCATTATCATGTACATATCAATATGATGGTCGAAATAATATTTTTATTAGTATTACAACTATTATAAGTATTTTTGGTGGTTTATCACTTGCATTAAAACTATTAATTATGACTAGTTTAGAATTTATTACTAAAATTTTTTCAAATAATTTCTTTCATTCAATTTCATTCAATTACATTAAACAAATCTTTATTTGTCATACTGAAAATCAAATTATTCATCGATTACATGTCATTTTAGTTATTGGAATTCTTACTACATTTTATATGTTTTCTACTTTTACTCCTCGTGTAATAACTATTCCAACGAATAAACCTTCATTAGAAATCTATGAAGATTTATATAAAAAATATAATGATACATTGGAATGTCCATGTTCACAATTATCAGTGAAATATAAATCATTTTTAACTTTAACAACTGGTTTTCATGAAATATGTTCAAGTGATTTTATCACAGATCGATGGCTTTCATATTTATATGCGAAAAGAGATAATGATACACGACATTCACCATATGATTTTTATAATTCAGCTATTGGACAATTTAAATTACTTTCCTCATTTTGTAATTTATCAAACGAAACAGTTTCTGAATCAATTTTTCAATTAGGAACAACGGATTTTATTAATAATCAACTACTATCATCAGATATCTTAGATAATCGAATTGAAATGTTTATTAATGAGTTTAAACAAACAATATCACAATCATTTGTCAATAGTATTTCATTAATTCGAGAAACAATTAGTAGTAATATGTTAATGACTGTATATCTAAGTAATTGGGAGTTTGAACGTTCAAGTGTTGACTCTTTTCATAAATTTATCCATATGTTTCCCTTAAATTATAGTGGATGTAGTTGTTCATCATCATCTAAATGCGTTAGTTTATCTCATGAAATGTTAACTGGTTGTTATCCACTTGAAACAATATTTCAAACAACATTAGACTGTTTTTATAATCAAGAATGTATTGATTCAACACATAATTTCAAATCAATAAATATTTCATCATTAGAAAGAAGTCGTTTTTTATTAAATCAAACAATTGAATCAGTTGTCAATGAACTAATGCTTGAAGAATTAAAATCTAAAATAAACTATACAAATTATTTTGATGCATGTTTACCATCATTATGTATTTATTCATATGTTGACAAAAGGAATGCTATTGAAGGAATATTAACATTAATTGGTTTATACGGTGGTTTAGTTATTATTTGTCGATTAATTGCTATTATTATTGTCAAAACAACGTGTCGGGTGAATCGTAAAATTAATCCAACTACAAATTTATCTTAAATAAACAAAGATTTTCTTGCTTTTCATTTCTATTTATATAAATCACGCTTTATGCTTATTAAATAAACAGATTTTCTTGCTTTTTGTTCCTGTTCGTATCAGCTACGCTTTATTCTTATTAAATAAATAAAAGTAAAACTTAACATACTCATTTTTTCTTCAATATCTAAACTCGGTTTACTTAGTCCCAGATTGCTCTTGAGGGTGTGGGTGTGGGATTGTGTTTGCTTCAGGTCCTAATGTTCATAGCACAATACCGTCCCACACATTCACACTTTTAGAATATTTTACATCGAATATCACAAATTCGTAAATATCTAAGAGAAGAAAAACAAATGTGTTTTTTTCTGGCTTAATTTATTTTAAAATAAAAAGAAAGTCTAACTTAACAGAACAACAGCTATATCGAAGTTGAATTTGTTTGAAGTGAATCTTTACTATTGAACATAATTGCCACCTTTGTATCGATCGATTTAAAATAAAAATAAAAATAAATATCAATTCGCTTTTCCTTTTAATTAATAAATAACATTGTAATCGGCGGATTATTATTAATATGAATAATTTTCTGAATATCAAGATTTTTACCATAAACATTAAATGATTTATATAGACCAATATCACATAGATTCTGGAAACGAAATGAATATATTTTGCATTCATTAAAAACTCCAAAATCAGGTGTATAAAACTAATGAATAGAATATACTTTTAATACGCCGTAGAATACTTTTCTAATAATGATTAATTTCTTGAAATGATACCTATTGAATACAATACAATAATTAATCGATTAAAAATTGAGAAAATTTCGTTTAATGCAAATTTTATCAACAATTATTTTAGAATTATCAACATATCTATATTTTTGTTAAATACTTTGTGACCCATTATTAAATACTTTTCTAGATAGTAAAGAAAAGAATCATTCTGATTTATTTTCAATTTCATAATTACTAAACCAGTACATTAGATATCGTCAAAGGTACATAAGAAAATTTACTTGATGATTGTATTTTCTATGATACTCTTTCGATGAAAATCGAAAAAATGATTGTAACCATAAAATATAATTCGTATCAAACTTGTCATATAGACTTTTCTACTATTTTAGTAATAAAAATGCTCGAGGATTTATGTTAATATTGAGCGAAATTACAAGTTATGACTTTCTATTCGATATTATTTTTTTTATTTTTCGAAAGAATTAATCAAAACAACGTTTGAAAATTCGAAACTTCAAAAAAAAGTCGTGATGTCTAGTTTTGAAGTGATTTATGATTAATAATAAGTTTATTGATTAACTTCCTTTGGATTGCAAACTGATAGAAAGTGACAACTATTCTCGATTATTTCAAAATGTGCATTTTCTTTGCTAAAGAAATTGAATAAATAGTATCATTTAGACTATGATGAACTAAAACAGAACATTGAATTTCTTTGAGGCGTTCTTCAAGACCATCACGTTCACCTTTAAACAAATAGCACTTTGACGAAATTTTTTACGTCCATCAACACCATCATAGACTTATTGGTGTATCTATATATATAAATATAATCTGATTGACCTTTTATAATATTTTCAAGATATTTAAATCAATAGCAATAAAACCACCTTGACTAACACCAGCTATAAAAATGGATCCCTCAATTTCTTATTTCTTAAGTACATCAGTAATCATAATAGCAAGTAAATTACATGTATTCAATAGTAGATTATCATTAAATTGTGTTTCAAATAGATCACTGGTAGTAACAAAAGTGTGAAGAAGTACAAGAATTGCTTTTGATGGATCGGAATTTTATGAAATTTGAAGATAAATTAATTTTTATATTCTCGAGTAAACAATCGTACAAAGTTTTTGTTTGCATACCTGGATCTCTATTGTATCTTTTTTCTATTGCTTTCGTTTGAAACAAATCACAAGATTTATTTTTTGAAAATTTATTCAATCAAATAAATCCTTATATTAGGCAACTATTCAATACTGAGAAAGAAGCTGCCAGGAGATATATTAATAATTAAAAGAAAGAGACAAAAAATACGACACGAATAATGTTTCGATGAAAAGCATTTGAAATTAGAAGAAAGAGGCTTCATGAGAAATACTATTTGAAGCAGCGGAAAATCGGCTTGCTTTTGCACGTGAAGCTTTGGCTGCATGTCGTGCATGACTTTCATTGAATTTTACAGTACCAAAAGGTGTTGGAACTTTCATGGAATATTTGTCTTTAACACTTCTGGCTTCGGCAGAAGCTACTTCAAATGATGATCCATCTGCTCGACTTGATCGTCGTTTGGTTGAATAGTGATGTGCCACTGGATAACAACCATCATCACAAAAGAGACTCATCTCCACAATAATTGAATAAATGTTTGAAATTCAATGGTAAAGTAATGATTTTTTTCATTTCTTTATATACCTGTCGGAAAAAAAACAATTATTCTTTCTACTACGACAACAAATAGTACGAACGTCATTACACATAAAATAATTTCACTGTATCTAACGTATGAAATCAAACAGAACACATGCAGAATGTCTAGTGGTTTGCTCTATGACTTTTTTCACAAAAGAGCAACCGTAGAAAAAAATACTGTTTTGCACATGACAAACCATCTCGATATATTTCACACAATGATAGGAAGAAAACCGCTTCATATACGGAAGGGTACTAGTAATTTATGCAAACAGCACAAACACCCAACTTTGTAAACCCGCATATAGGCCATTTAGTTTTCATAATCGAAAATTAAAATACAAAGAGAATGATGAGAATTTTTGAAACCTTCCACAAGATATCCTTCAATTTATTCGATGTATCCTATCTTGGTTTGATACTTTTGGCATTATTCTTCCGAGATAATAACAGTCTGTTTGTTTTTAATACAAGCTATGCTATAATTCATTAGAAAATGACTCACCATACCTACTTCTTAGCGTTCTACCGTTTATGTTTTATTGAAATAATTCATTTTCACTATCATTTTATATACAACATACTGTTGCTTCCCGTTTTCTCTTATCTGATATACTACATTCCTCTCGATTTTACCCCTTTCCTGTCATATGATGAAGCTGTATATTAATATCTGTCTCTTAATTTTTGTTTATCTATTTTTGTAAGAAAACACAGACAAATTAAATGAAACTGATAGGATTTATTTATTTATACAATATATTAAATATTTGACTGAGACGTCTAATAAAATTGTTTTGAATATGAGATAAATATATGTTGGAATATGAGTATAGATACTATATTCGTCACTTTTCTGATTTACACTGTCATTCATACCATTCTTGAAAAATTCATCCAGATTGTTTATATAACTTCTTATCTAGTTTACCAATATAAGTACTATTGTACAGAAATGATTTATGAAAAAATAAAAATATGAATCAGGACAACTATTGACAATATAGAAGGGTGTGGGTGTGTATCTATATGTATCATACATATACTACTATACATTACACCCACACCCACACCCACAACCTCAAATAAGAAGGGTCGAAAAGAAGAAAGCTACGTGTACATCGCATTTCAGTGAGAGCGTTACAGTCATATTCTATTTTTAACAAACATTTGATTTACAAATCTAAACATAATGAACAGATTGAGTTCTTACAAATTTTTCATAGAAATTTTAGGAAAAAATTTTAAATGAATTTCTCTTGGTTTAATCCATGGTTCAGCAATAAGAAGTGTTTCAATATTTGAACAATTGTTTCTAGCTTGTTGATTATTTTGATCGATTATTGTCAATAAAACATCTTTGCGAATGACAAGTTCCACTAAATTTGGAAGATGAGCTCGATAAAGAAGTTGTTCGGCATAATTCATATGAATTTTATGTAAAATAAGTGTGGATAAGTAAGGAAATTCAATTGGATTTGTTATTGTTTTCTCTTCTTGTTCTAATTGATTAGATATTTCCAGTGTTCGAAGACGAGGTAAAGCTTGTGCAACATGTTCAAAAAAAACATTTTCAAAAGATTTAATATCATCATAAAGTAATAAGATAGTAACATTTTTAAATGTATTTTTAATGTCGAAAAGTGGAAATCGATTAGAAATAAAATCAAGACGGTTACCAATAAATGGAAGTGAATAGATTTGACATTGACCATAATGATTATTGAAATAATCAAGTGCATAATCGACAGATTGTTCTTCAATGAAGCTTTGAGAAACTGTTGTATCAATTTCAGTATAAGAAGCATTTCTTAATATTGAACGAATATGAAAATGAAATTGACATAAATTAGGCATATATGAAACGATATTTCTTTGTAAATGATGTCCATCAATAAAATTATCGGATTTAGTGAAGTCGATGGCTAATAATAGTGTTAAATGTTCGATGCTTGATAAATGTTGTAACAAAGGAAGAACGTATTCTTTATAGCTTAGAATATTACGATAGACCGTGATTGTTAATTGTTTCAAATTGGGACAACATATCTTAAGAAAATTAATTGAGAAAAAATATCAATTTAAGATATAACTTACTGATTCTATTTGAGACATATTAATTTCATCGCCTAAATAAACAGTTCTCATGCTTACAGTAAATGAGTGTACTGCTGAATCAAGTTGGTTCAACAAACGAACACAATCGGACAATTCACGTAATGTGATTGATATATGAGTAAGATAAGATGATTGAGTAAAGAATAATTTATCATGATTAACAGGTATTCCTAATGCAGCATCATTATCGAATGCAAAAGAGTGAATAGGCCGCATAATTGGCGAGCAACGGATAACTGATAAGATCGGATTAATGAATCTGTCTTCGATAAAAACAAATTGAGGTACAATTGAGAAAAGAGGTGTTTGATGTAATGCGCTATTGTAATAAGAACCTAAATTATATAAATATCAATGGTATATAAAATTATTTTTTATATTTAATTTTACAATTGGTTATAAAAATAAATGTTTTCATGATACATTTTGTAGTAGTTATGTGCCGCTTCTAGTCAAATATTACTTCAGTCTCCTTATTATAAACTCTATTTTAAATTAAAGCTATTTGTGTGAAACTTTCGACATTGTATAGAAGTGTCAAAGCGAGTTAGATGTTGGATTCGACGAAAAAGCCTGGAAATAAGGAAAGAACTATCTTTCTATCTCATTACTCGCCTATTTTAATACTGGAATCGATAAGAAAATCTCATTATTTCTTCATTTTATATATTTACTTAGGACATACATCTTAATTTCTCCAAGCAGTCAAAAAGAAATTAAGATATAAGGCCACTATTTTTGATATGACCTAAATAGAAATCTAGATAAATAATAATTTACTTATTGTGACTGGTGTTCCAGTATAATGACGGCGCCGACCTGATAATATTTTCACATGTCTTCAATTAGGAAGAATTTCACCATCAATTGCTTTGACAGCAACGTGAATATACAGCAAATGTTTAAGAGTGATGATCAATGATTGGATACGATTGTAAATACAAGGCAAAATATATGAATAAAATCGTTTGATCAGGAATTCATGCGATGAACAATAATAATCAAAACTTAGATCAATTGAATAACATTTATCAAGAATAATTCGTTCCAAGCGATGGTTTCCAATATTAACAATAGAACAGATTAATATCCCTTCGGGTTTGACTTTATTCATTATAAATAAGATCATTTCATCAGGTAAGTCCAGAAACTCAACAAGATTTTCTATAGACAAAGAGTAAAAATTAGAACATTATTAAACAATTGCATACTTCTATTGGATAAACAGTTCATTGTTTATTTGATATGCTCGTCGATATATTATATATATGTATATATTGTTATACATATATATATATAGATATATGATCGCATACTCACTTGACGAACATTATCTGAACAAGAACCAATGAAAATTGAGTAGATCCTAGTTATCTTTAACACGTTGACTGTCCGGTGTATCATATATGATGCACGCGCTGCATATGACATTTAAACTATTGAAATATATTGGCACGATGTAAACACAACTCGCGGGAGCGAGGGTGTATCCCCCACTCCAATAATTCGAATTTTGTTTTTTCGACGACGGAAGCTGATTTGGAAAAAGTTTTGTGTTTTTTCTAGCAAGTTTTTCTCTATAGTATTATTCTAAGAGAGACAATTGAATCATATGTGTTGTTTGGAAAAAAAGCATCAAAGATATGTTTGAAACTTATTTTTGTGGTATATGAACGTAATACACTTCAAAAATAATATATTTTAAAAGTACGCAAAAAATAAAAATGGACGTAGAACTAGTACTCATTTTTTTGTATGGGGACAGTCAACGTGTTAAACATAGTAATCACTCATTCGTGTAAACTACACACGCATACGATACTCAGTGAGTGTAAGGACGCTGTAATTAGTGTGTTTAAAGTGAACTAGTACCGTCAATTTATGTGTCAGACGAAGTTGAGATTTAGAAAAAATAAAACAAAGTTTTTTAACAATCTAACATCAAACGTTTAAAAAGAGCAAAGCGACAAAAACTGGTCTAGCAGGGTGTGGGTGTGGGTATTGTATTCCTCTCAGATGAAAAGCTGCATCCCATACACCCACACCCCGCTCGCGACATTTTGTACAATACTCGTTTCTTTGCAAGAGTTTACCTTTTTTTAATAAGATTATAGTAAAGTTAGTTTTCGTATCGATAAGTATTTCAACATAATTCAAAATTTATTGTTTTTAAAGAAAATATTGAATCAAAATACGACTTAAGCGCCTTAATATTCAGTAGAGGTTAATAACAACATCAAAAGCAAAAATATAGGTCTTTATCATGTTTCATTTTTTTGTGCTCATAGTTCAAAAACAGTATTGAAAATCAAGATGCGATATATATCCAATAAGAACAACAAAAATCATAGTACTAGTAATTTGAATACGTCGTCCTTTATTTTCTATAGTCGTTGTCTTGCTAGGAGTCGACTTTGTTACTGAAGTTGATAATAATTGTTGATCTGTTGTGAATTCTAATGGTGATTGTGGATTCGGTGTGAATTCTAATGGCGATTGTTGATCCGTCGGGAATTCTGATGATGATTGTTGATTTATGGTGAATTCCGATGATAAGTGTTGCTCAGTTATATGTTTCATATCTGATGTAACTGGTAGCTGCACTGAAGTAGTTGACTCTACTGAATTGTATTTGAACATCTCGAGTACTGACAATATGTTGTAGTGATGATCGACTATTGTTTTTACTTCATCCATGATATTCATCTCGTTACATTTATCATATTGACAAAACATGTTAATTTGAAGAGAAGCAGGATTTAGATCGCATAAATTAAACTCAAACGAAATTTGTAATAAAATTCCGGATCTTTGATTTCCATTGCAGGCTTGTTTCCACTGGCCGGTATCAATTTCAGTTTGTATATAACTTCCAAAACACTTTCTAGTACGACATTGTGTAACCGTCGAATCGACAAAGCATTGTCCTACATTCACACAATATATAGATCATCATATAAGAAAAGCTTATCTTTGAAGTAACTTTCATTTATGAAGAAAAGTAATACCAGAAAAGAACTAAATCTGCGTGATCTCGCATTTTAGAGTTTCACAGCTACCTTTTGAAAAAAATGACGACAAACTTGATTTATTAACTTTCCTTAGAAAGTTATTCCAATGAATCCACAGCTTTCAGTTTATCTAGAAGTGTTTTCCAAAAACTCATTTGAGTAGAACCAAACTTAACTATTTATACGATTGGTTAATCTAATGTTTATGAATTGATCAAAAATTAGTAAAATTAACATGTTGTCGATTTCATAAAAATGACGTGCCTACATTATTTCTTATACACAACATATTTGATCAAATAAAAATCGTGTATGATATGAAACGTGATTGAGAAGACAGTGTGCACAGTATTATTAAAAAAAGAATGATAGTCTATGAACTGTCAAAGCGGCATGAATAATATCGCAAAATAATTTTTTCTTAAAATACTTAAGAAAATATTCATTAGACAACGTATGACAGACTATCAACATCAAAACATCTAGCTTAATATAGTTATAACTGTGAAAAAGTCATGCGTCACAAACTAACATAAAGTTGTCTGATTTATTACTGAACGTCGATCGAATATACTACCTATTTTCTGTTAGAAATAAAATACAGTTGTGTCACTTAATGATATACTGATTCGACGTGATTTTCTTTAATAATCTAGGAAAATCATTTATCTTATCATGAGAAAAACACATTGAAAATATGTGACAAGTTTTCATAAAAGAATAAAATGTTTCTTTATTAAGAATAATAAATCACTCACCTGCTTCTTTACCATAGCCCATAATTAATGGACGAATCTTCTGCTCGAACTCTGTATAATCGACTTTAACTAACCAATGGATATGATCTGTAAGAAATTTTTTGTCACATTCGTTGCCAGAACATGCATATTCAAACAAACTAACAATTTGAAAATTACCAGTACTATCTTGACTATACATAGCTGCTGTGGTGAAAGAGATCATCGTATCATCTAAGTCGCTACCTCCGAACTGCTGACTAAATTCTATTTGTATAAGCTGAAATGCACTAATATAATTGATAGCAATTCTCATGCGACATAAACTACTATCGTCAACTTCAATAACATGTAAGTTGCCGATTGTTTCTTGAAAGTCAGCAGCATTAAATTCAGCCACTTTCACTTCTAGTTGACGATTAATAGTACACTTATGACCGGAACTGGTTGCACAGATGATAAGCAGGACTACCAGTACTATTGACTCCATTAATCAAGAAGAAAATAGTGAAATGAATTGCGATTACTTGTAAATGACGTGAGTCTCTACAAAACTTCATCGATGATATAGCACAACAGGTTTTGTAATAAACCGAGAAAAACAACTATTCAAACACGGCATGTCAGATCGATGAGAGTAGATATATTATGATAGAGAAGCAGCATGAACGAGTTAATAAAGTTTTTATTAATATGCAGTTCAGTATTAAGATCATTTCTTTTCCAACCGATAGTATCTCGAGTCGAATTACGTATAAATCTTGTCGTTAAAGTTTCGTTTGATCAATGATCTTGGAATTTGCATCAAAAGAAACGATTTTCAACGAATGAAGATCGAACTACAAATTCAAACAAAATCTTTTTATTGAATTCTCATACATTGGATGATATTTTTCTAATGTTAACCTCACGGTTGACTCGAATTAATTCACTTGAAATAAAAGAATAAACACAATACTTTTTAAATCATGTGATTATTTGAACTTGATTAAGGTTTTTCAGTAATAATCAACAAGAACAAAAACTTGACGAAAAATGAGTGTGGATGTCTCTTCTTATTTTGATAGATTTTCATTTGAAATGATATTAGTAATTATTTTAATGATTATAAAAGCTGTAAAATCATGTTTATGAGGTCTGTTTTAAGACAATCAATTAATGTAATATAAAATATCGATAAATACTTCAACATATAAAATAAGAATTTTATTCATTGAGTGAATATTAATTCTTGCAGCAAAAGTAATATTGACAGATATGTCTGACTAACTGAACACAGTAAATACCTTCAAAGAATGAGTTATATATATGTCTGATATTTGAAATTATACAGAACGAATCATTGCCTAATATTTTGAATATAGATTTTTGCTATCGAAATTAGTATTGACGTTGAATGAATTACTGAGAAATGGAAAATAATGTATCTTAGATTTAGTATATTTTTCTAGTTGTACATCTCATGGTATGATTAGAAAATAAGCGTACAAATAATTTTACATTCTTTAAACAACGAAATTGACTGTTGTAAGTTACTTTATTTATTTAATCAATGAATAAAAAATGTCAAAGGCAATATAAGAGGATATGAGAACAAATACAATAAAATTCATCAATGAAAACATTCGTCTGAGTATGTAAACAAATTTTTTTTAATGCAATTAATGACAAGAGCTGAATGAATGAGTAGTGAAGCAAATAAATAAAAATGATTGAATGATTTAAAGATTGAATTAGCTTAGATTATCAGAATTAATTTCCTCATTTGTTGACCTATTGATCAAAGAAAATCTACCTGTGAAAATCATTACATAAATTGCAGTGAAGTCTTAAAAGTTCGTACTTGAATAAATAAAATTTATTAATCATTTGTATGTATCCATAAGAGATCAGGAACAAAAGTTTATATGAGCTCTTAAATCTTAGATTTAATTTCATGTAATCAATCTATATTTAGAATGCTTTGAGTTCTACGATTACTTATTCATACTTAAGAGGTAAAGTCAATAAATA